CCCAATGCGACCATGTGACGAATTCCCGGACTTCTCCCCCCCAACCACCACCAACCAGACGACCCGTCCCCCCCCCAAAACCAGAATTTTATTGCAGATTCGGGGTCCTCTCGCCGAGCACAGGAGGACCCCGCCTTCAAAAATAAAAATAAAAAAATTCCGGGCTGTTTTTTTGCCCGCCCGGTTTGCCCGGGCCACCCACCCGGGCCCCGCCCGGCCGGGCGGCGTCCGTACTCAGCAAAATTCGACATTTTCATATATGGGTATTCAGGCTGTTGCAGCCCGCCAATTGGTTGAACGGACGCGCGAGCCTCACTAAGCTGCGTCGTACAGTTGGCCCAGGCCTTGGCAGTTGCGGCTGGGCACATACACAAAGCAGGGCTGATACATCATGAAGTGGCCACTGGCCTATGCAAAATCAGTATTGTCGACGTACCTACCCCGGGGTCCCGTGCAAATGCAGCAAATGGCCCAAGTCCATAGACTCAGGCCGTGCCCAACTGTAAATGGCCCAGGCCCTCAACTGTATCTCCGGCCTGGGGACAGGGACTGGGGCCCAACAGGAAGATACTGGAAGCTTCCAGCCCGTCCACAGTAGCATTCAGGTGGCTGCCACTTCCATATAGGAAGAGAGGCAGCCCAGGCCAGGATTCTGGCCCGTGCAGGCAATGCGGTCACGCTGCTGCGCTGCTGCATTGGATGATACGTTGCGGCCAGTGCGCTTGTGGGGCACATCGAGGTGAAGTGAGGCGCTGCAGGGCAGCGGTGCGCTGGCAGCCATAGCTACTTGGACATCTGTGTGATTTCGGAACTTGGTTTTCTGTATATCGTTCACACTCATATTCCTTGCAATTTGGTATCGGAGCTGGTTCGTGATCGCCGCTTACCTGGCGCTGGCGACATTGTTACTTGGTGCGCTGACGATGCTTCATGTGCAGTAAGGAGACTTTGGCGCTGGCTTGAAAGAGCGGGCCCCAGGTAGAGGGGCCGGCTGCTGGAAGGCTGTGGCGACAGCGGATGTATGTATGATGATGAGAGCATGCTGACGTGGCATTTTGGCTGAGGTGGCACTGCATTGCGTTGTGGGTGGTACAGAGGCTATGAACGGTCATCGAAATGCACGTCAGCCCAATTGGTGAGAAATCTGTCGTTGGGGGCAGCTATCTCCAGGTACGTTGTTCCCATTCCTTATCTACCCTCTCAATCTCTTCTTACCCTGAGGAAGTGAATCCAACCTTCCTCTCTTTTGTGTGAGGAGTCGTGTGTGCTCTACCTTGAGAGACGACATTCTTCCCGGTGGCACATCTGGCAGGAGAGGGCGGTGCCTCTGCATGGCCCTGGTCGAAGCACGGGTCACGGTCACCATGCCAACCCATAGGAGTAGTACACGCAGGCCATGCTGCTTTGTCCTTTGAGGCTCTTTGCTGAGCTGATAGTAGGGGTGTGCGGACTGACCAGTCCTAAGCAGACGCTCCCAGACCGTCTATAAATATTTCTGGTTGGGGTCTGTGCTCGTTGCACGCGAGGATAAAGAATGGGCAGACACTGGTCATACGCATACACCTTGGGCACAGGGCCGTTAATGCACACCTTGACACTGCCGCTCGATGATGGTCACAGTCACGTTGGATACAGGGGAAGGAGAGACTTACGAGACTCCAATTGAGGACTCAACTGGCAAACACTATCATACCCATTGTGCATGCATCTGCTCACATTAGTTCATTTTTATTTTGTTTACTTGGTTGACAGACTGCTGACACCGAACAGACAGCCTAGAGTAGGACTGTAATATTCTACCATAGTCAGTTCTTCTCAAAGCTTCTGCAGACAACTAATCAGGATAGAAGTAGACTATGTATACAGTCCGTGTAGATGCTGTTGACACCGCTTGAACGGTAGTGTAGGTAACTCGCTGGATAATTATTATTTATTTATTTATTTTAACACCGGCTAGACGCATGCTGCGGTAGGTTCCAGCGAGAATCCTAGTGCAGACAGCGTTTGCCTAGCCGATGAGTAAATCAGCCGGGGGTGAAGGTACACCTGACGATAGGAGGCAGACACGACGGGACACAGGCAGGATACCCGTCGTGTTCCAGGTCCTACTACCAGGAGACTAAAAAAGACTAAGGGCCGAAGCAAGGGCCCGTAATCTACAGACTGCAAGGGAAGAAGCAGCGGCTGTGGAGAGAGCATTGGCAGCAGCAGCAGCCAGTGCGGTAGCAATGGCCACCTCTGCAGTATCGTCTGCTGCAAACTCCCTCGGCATGCCGCAGGGATCGTCCCTCTCGCAGTCCGGCTCCACTACGTCAGGAGCTGGCTCTAGTCAAATGGCGGGCGTGCAGTCCAGCTCGCCGCCTCACCTTACAAGGGAGCAGATGGAGCTCCAGCAGGTAGACAAGATCCGCTTAAGGTTAGAGGAAGAACTTGAAAAGGCTACTGACAAAGCGAAAGAGATCAGAGATAGAAGTGTCAGACTCGAGGGTAGGGAGGCGGGCAAAGCTGCATTACAGGGGTTAGACGACTCAGGCCTTGACAACACAGCAAAGGTCTTCAAGGCGAGCATCCTGTCCATGCATGCATACATGGACAGCAAGCTGGACGATATCCAGGACACCCTGGACCAGATCCTGAATGCCATGCACAGGCCAGGAATCCGGCCAGCAGCTTTGCCATCACTGCCATTCTCAGCGATGACAGGCCCCTATGCCCCTCACAGTCCGGACCACCACCAAGCGGTACTTGAGCAGCAGCCCTATCTCGGACTGTTGCTTCTTCATCTTCTAGTCGAGCGGCGGGTGCTACACCCCAGCCGCCACTTGTCTCACCATCGGGACAGCAGCAACCACGGTACCCTAAGACCCCATTTAAACCACCCGCCACCTTCTCAGGAGACAAGGAGGAGGCTCTTGACACTTGGTTGAGAACGGTTCCAGTTTGGGTTAGGGAAAAAGGACGCTGGTAGAGGAGGAGGTGATAACTGCTGCATCCTACTTGTTTTTATGTTATTGCAGCATCAAAACGAAATTCTGAATTCTCTACAGAGGCTGGATTAAAACATCTTGTCTTTTTACTTGAGTAGTCTTATGCATGGTAAGTACTATAGCTCCAATCATGGCCACTAATAAAATAAAACTTGGGTTCAGCAGCTCGCTGGCTTAATGGATTGGTGGCTTCCAAGGGATTCGGCAGAAACATGGGTGATTGAGCCAAGACCCACATCCTAGAGAGCTTTATGGATTTGGTAGAGGCGCGGCGACACAACCTTCAGCAGGCGCAGATAGCCACTGATGGGTTATTGAAGCTTCATGCTAGGAAGTACAGGTTGGTGCGCAAGCTCACCACAACCATAGAGCGTTTGATTGTCGTCCCAGGCGTGGAGTACAATCCACAGGTCTTGCTGACCATGTTCTCGAGGTGTCTTCCCGCAGACATCAAGAACTTGTTAGCCAATGAGGCTCGGCTTGACTATTACACTTTTGAGACATTCAGTTAAAAGGCCCTAGATTTAGAGGCTACACTGGGTGGTGCTCAAACCCCCCCTACGGACGGGAGAAAGAAGAAGGCTCCGCAAGAATGGAAGAAAAAGGGTAGTCGATTGATGATGGTTGATTCCGAGGGGAATCAAACTGAGATCCATAATGTTTCTAACCTTGTGGAGAGTTCGGAGTTAGACGGCGAGGATAGTGTTGAGGGTAGCAACCTCACCGCGGTAGTCAAGACTAAGGCAGGGGGTCGCAGCAAGGGCGGTCAACAAAGGAGTCAGGGCCAAGCTGCCAACCCAAACAAATAGCTGCTTGGGTTAGAGCCGGTTTGGATTAAGATGTGTGGTAGGACCGTTGGCAGTGTGGGGCTTGCATAAACTGCGGCAAGTATGGCCATCAGCAGTTCAAATGCAAGAATGCTAAGGTCGCGCAGAAGATCCCTCCTAAGGGCGAGTATCCTTCTTCTAAGTCTGGGGCCTCTACGAGCTTCAGCTTGGGAAACACCTAGGGCCAGTAGAAGTTGCAGCCGCTTCTACTCCTTGAAGCGGGTGATGTACCCTCCCCGTTTCAAGAGTTGGTCGAAGCTATTGACTCCTTAGTCACCCCGCAGACGCATCCGAACCAACAATACTATGTACGTTGGATGTGTCTAAAAGACTCTGAAGCCTTAGAGGACCTTCAAGGTGAGTGGTCGACAAGGGACCCTCGTGAGTCCTGGGTGGCACTAAGTCGAGGTCCTAGACGGGAGCATTTCGTTGTGGAAGTTGGTGAGGGTGGCCGCAAGTGCGGTGCCTTCGTAGGCATCGGCTCCGCGCGAAACTTCATAAGTTGCGACTGCGTTGAGAGACTGCGCCTAAAGGACCGGGTGCACCGCCTTAGTAGACCGGTAGCCTCTACTTTGGCCGACAAAGAGCGCATGATGGTAGAAGATTACGTAAAGGACGTAGTCTGCACTTCCTCCTACCCAGGAGGAGAGATAAGTCACAAGATATCATTCCTGGTGAGCGACGATTTGCCTTTCGACATGTTGTTGGGCATGTACTACCCCGAGGTTGCCAAGCCCCAATTTGACTCGGACAAGAAGGTGCTTAAGCAAGAGTTGCCTGATGGTAGGACCGTTAGATTGGCTAAGTACAAAGTCATTAGGTTGATCGACTTCTATGGGTGTTTATGTGCACCTGAGTTCTATAATTATTCCTAGTCTATGTCTCTGAGAAAGGGGAGGCCGTTAAAACACCCCAGAGATGGAGAACATCGTCGCTAAGAACCCTGATCTATTTGAGGAGGGGCATATAGGAGTCGTGTCCATGCCATAGAGATTATCCCAGGTAGCAAGACACCTAAAGGGAGAAACTATAGGATGGCTCTGACCGAGTTGGACGAGCTTCGGCGACAACTGAAAGAGCTCACAGAGAAGGGTTGGATATGGCCTAGCACCTCCCCCTTTGGCTCACCAGTTTTATTTGTCCCAAAGAAAGGGGAATCACTAAGGATGTGCATTGATTATAGAGGCCTCAATGTCATCGAGTTGGACGAGCTTCGGCGACAACTGAAAGAGCTCACAGAGAAGGGTTGGATATGGCCTAGCACCTCCCCCTTTGGCTCACCAGTTTTATTTGTCCCAAAGAAAGGGGAATCACTAAGGATGTGCATTGATTATAGAGGCCTCAATGTCATCACAGTTAAGAACGCAGAGCCTCTACCCCGCATGGACGACTTATTGGATAGGGTGCAAGGATGTAAGTACTATACAAAGATAGACTTAAAAGTCGGCTACCATCAGATTGCCATAAGACCAGAGGACCAACACAAAACCGCATTTCAAACCAGCTTTGGCCTTTGCAATACGCTGGGTACATTCCAGCACCCATGAATAGGATTTTCCATGACTACTTAGATAAGTTTGTCGTCGTGTACCTCGATGATATATGTTAGTGAGACTATCTAGGAACATGCTCAACATGTAGACAAGGTACTTTCACTCCTTCAGCAACACAAGTATTCATGCAGTCAAGCCTCTGGCCAGGACACTGGGGACACTGGGAGGATGGCCCCTAACAAGCATGCGCCATCTCAGGGAAGTCACTGCAGGTTTGAAGTCGGTGGGTGTTGTTATAGATATGTTCAAACCTCGTTAGCTGTCCCGTGAGCACAGCTGCGGGCTGATGAGCTTTATCAAACACACCAATGCGAAGTGCATTGTCTGGCTGAACCAGGAGTCTAGTTCCAAGGAAAAGACATGACCCATCTTGCTCAGTAGTGCCTTTCCACTCAAGACCATACCAAGCAATGTGGCGACGAGGATGTCTTCCATGATAGCATGCCATCAATGAATCAATATGTGAATGCATATGCTTGCGCAGATTGCAGATCTCACTGGCGAAGGTCATCGATGAACTGTGCTTCGTCCCAGTAGAGCATAAGGTTGGCAACTTCAGGTCCACTGGTAATGCCCATAGGGATACCAACCACCTGATGATGCGAAGTGCAATCTGTTGAGTAGAGAAGTATTAGAGCCCACAAACCGCACATGTTGTTCTATTTCTGACACGGAAAGGGTGTCCAAGCCATGTGAAGTAAACCATTCCTCGTGATGAAGAACTCCTACAGTCATGTACATTTGTACTGGCCTTCTGCCTCTGTGGCATCCGCACCAAAGCGTAAGCATGTGCTTCAGCATTTAGGACATGGTTAAGAATCCCATCCTGTGGGGTGTCTGTGTTGAAGGGGGGAGGTTCTCTCACGAGACAGAATCCTTCTTTAATTTGGAAGGTTTCTTGATTTCTGTATGTCCTGCTTCCACAGGGGCCACACTCATCTTCTCAGTATCGTTCTGAATTTAATAGATGTCCAGGCAGATTGGCACCGGCCTTCAGCAAATGGGCAATATACCAGGGAGAGTTCTCACACGATATCAAATCATTCCCCTGTTTGGCACTGAGGAAACCTACCTGGAATAAGCAACACTTCCACCTTCTCTGACCATGTGCCCCTCTGTATCTCCATACATTCGCACCTGCATCCATTCAGAGCAACGCTCCGCAAGGTCAGATGACAAGTAATAGTGAGACAGCTCCTTGCTAGTAAATGCTTGATCACTGCAGTGGCAGGTGAATACTTGAAAGTTGAAAACATGAATCGTGGGTCAGAGTTCTGCCTTATTGACAGACTTCCATCCACCAAAACACACAAGAAAGGATATGAAAGAAAGAAGAAGGGCCAGTAAGGCTCCACCCGTGTGAGAAAGGAATGTGGTTGTCAATGGAAACAGTAGGTGTCAAATCATATTAATGTTTTCAAAGTTCAGTATTGAAGTTAGGTCCTAATTCTGCTTTCGGTATTGAAGTTGGGTTCTGGATTTTGTGTTGTAGACTAAAACATAGGCACAGATAGGCAATTGAGAAAGCAATTGTCCGAGACGGACAAGGGTGCAAGCGTAGTTCACACCTGATTGAATCTCCTCATGTGATTGCCCAAAATTGCAGAAACACCATAAACATATGTGTGTGGATGTCAATCCAAAATGTACCGAGTGCACAATAATTGAAAACAAACGCATAGTAATTGCTGACAATGATTGAATGATATTCGAACACAGTAAGCCGTTGGCCAACTAAAAAGCCACATAATTCTATAACCGGAACCTATGCTGAGTACGTACAACGAAGTAGACCAAAATTGCAGCATAAGATGAAAATGTTATGATCCTGGCCAATTTCCAAGTACACATACATCAGAAAGTACAATGCCGTCCAAGTGCAAAAAGAAATGAATGAACTTGAGAGGAGAGAGAGGGTAAGAAGAAGAAGAAGAAAGAAAGAAGAAGATAATGTACACCAGTATAAACCAATGATAATGCTCTTCTTCTTCGCCAACCACTCTCCTCCTCCTTATCTTCTCCCCTCTTTATTCAAACAAGAATAATCATAACAATGTTGAATGGCTGATCCAGAATCAATGTCCGATTCCCTCTTCGACTGCAGGTATCACTTGAGGTCCACCATAGCCATGGCTGCCCCTCTTCCTCCTCTCTCGCATAGGCCGAGGCTTTGGAGGACTACCAGGGCATCGCCCTGCTGTCCAAAGGACAACACAAAACAGCTATGGGTGCTCTAGCTCAGGCCGCCATGCCTGACTCTGCCTCGAAGCGTCTTGGTGTAGCTCTCCCCCAACGGGCCCTTCCTGCTGCGACGCCCACCAAGGTGATGAAGATGGCAACCACCATAGTCAGGTAAGTACCTCTGGTGCTCCCCTTCCTAGTCCTCGTCTTCCTCCTCCTGTGTGTCCTTGCTCCTTCCCAGCAGCGCAGCGGATGCTAGCGCTGCTCCAGCCAGCACTCCAACCAGTGTGTCGCCACACTTGCACACCGACAATGACGAGGAGCAACTGGCTCCTCCTGGAGATATAGCGGCCTGCTTGCCTCTTGGCGAGTGACTTCCTACACCGCGCGGCCTCCAAGCAACCGGTACCTCCTGCCTTTCGGAGGGAGACATCATTGCAGACTCTGACATTGCCCATAGAGGCCCTAGACTCAGACTGGTTGGACTGGCACCCCCGCCTAGACCTAGCCTACAACTACTGGGCCTCTAAAAATGCCAACTTTTGTCTTCTTCTGCTCGGCCTCGAGTACCCGGCACATCTACCTCTAACTGGTGTGGTACCGGCCTGCCTGCTACTTGAGTGTTTCCGCTGCTTCAAGTGTCACGGGCCTCTTTTGCCACCACTTGAGTGTTTACCCCCCCTGTAATCCTCAATGTCACTGCCACAGGTAAGTACCGTCCCTTCGGGCCCACTGAACGAACAAGTGCCCTTGCGGGTCACACACACACTCAAGCTGACAAGCACTCTGACAGACATGCAGACCAGCAAGCGTGCACACACAGAGTTAGAGAACTCAGTAACAAGCGGAAAACTCAGCAAGGCATTCATTCCATGAGCAAAACTCAGAAATTAGCTGTGTCCCAGTCGGTGTTTGGTCAGGTCATTCCAAAAAAGTCTCTAAACCGAATTCAAACCGCAAGAAAAACTTTGCAACCGTCCTCAGAAACCATCCTTGCAGCAATGGGAACAATTTAGAACCCGTCAACAGTTGTTGAGATACTCGTTTAGATTTCCTCAATGTGTCATGTGGAGTTCTTCATGCAGTGTCTGCTGCTTGTAGTCGGTGAGGCATTTGGTAGAACTGACAACGTGAATTGCAAGGCTGTGTAGGTAACAGCAGCCTTTATGTAGTCTTCAATGGAGTGGATGTTGATGTGGCCTTAGCGTATGTAGTCAACCAGCAGTGCAGACTCCAGGGTACTCCACTCATTCAGCATTTATCTTTTCTGCAAACGTCAGTATTGGAGTGAATGGACAGGGTCTTGTTTGGTCCAATGGAAGACAAAGGGCTCATAAGGGTAATCTTGGTTGGATGAGAACGAAGGTGCATTAGCAGGCTTCTGCTTCCAGTTTGTTGGCCCAACGGAAGACAAAGGGCTCATAAGGACAACCATGGTTGGATGAGGACGGAGGTGCACTAGCCGGCTTCTGCTTCAGTGGGGTGTTCGTGTGACAGGAAAAGGGGATGGTGGAGATGTTGATGGCGGAACAGTCATCAACTAGCAAGTCCAGGAACTGGCAGTGTGGAATTTGGTCCATCCGTGTTAGAGGGAGGAGTCTTTGGCATTGTTCCGGATGTTAGTTATAGTTTAAGATTATTGACCTCCTGGAACAACCAGAAATGTTCGGATGTTCCAATTGCAGAGGACACAGTGGTAAGAAACGCAAGGCAAACAGCAGTCATGGCAATAGCACAGGGAGCCTAATCATTCAGCTCAATCACCTATGCTGCCCACAGCCAGAAATATTCAGACTGCAAAGGACATAGTGGCAAGACAGGCAGGCAGACATGGAACATGGCAGTAACGCACGAAAGCAAACATATTCGCTATGTAATCTGGAGGTTCTAGACAAGAACCTTTTTGCGCCCGAATGACACCCGCACCACCCCCTGATCCAAAAAGTCAGCAAATATCCTGAAAACCAACAACAACAATCATGGGTGTGTGCATTCCTCCAACACATTGACATCTGTTGAAATATGGAGTGGTCAGGCATGCCCGCTTTGGAGCCCCTGCGCGCCATTCCATCGGCCAGGGATCCCGCTGGCTGCCAAGTGCATTGAATTCTCCAAGGTTATTGAGCCACAGGAGGGTGACTGGGGGGACTCTGGAGGTTGACCTGGTTAGCATAAGAAGAGTCCGACACATGTACAGTCATCATCCAATGCAATCAAATGCAACACTGGTGAAAGATGCGGAGATGACAATATAATGACTGTTGAAGAGAGAGCATCAAGGGATGTTATACTTACACTCTTGATGGCTCCACACGAGGTTGCTGTGAGCTTTTCAAAAGATGTGAGCTTTAACCGCTGACGATCTTCAACCCCCGTCACAGATGCAGGATTGCGGACAAGCACTGCTGAGCTGAAGCCATCGTTATGTATTGCCCTGGTTCAAACCAGCAAGCACAAAAACCATCCAAAACAAAAACAGACAAATGACAGTTTGAAATAGAGAAAGGTGAACTCACCACAGACTATAAACGCCAGAAGACGGAGACAGAAAACGACACATGAAGAGCAAGAGATGGAAAGACAGTTGACAGAAAGAACAACATTACAGCAGTGTGTGGAATTGCATAACAGCTTTATGCAAGAATGGTACAACGGTACTACAACCATGACATTGTAGAACAGCATTCTGCTCCAACCCTCCCTCAGATCGAGAATCTCCCCAGCATTACCTGGTTTCTGGAATGACGCATACAGCTGTAGTAATGACGAGACAGGGCATAGGGCAGCAACATTGACACAGGCTTCCAATGCGGAACTTTCACTCAGAGCTGAGCCACCTTGCACACACAACACAACTTTAGACAGAATCTTGAAGGACATTGCATCAACAGTCATCCCAAATCAGGGTTCGCTCGACAAAAAGAGAGAACAACAGGAGCCGAGCTGATGCTCCCCAGAACGGATATAAAGAAAAAAGGAACAAGAAGGTCAATTGCTATTACAAGATAGACAAATAAGGGGGAGCGCATTCAGGAAGAAGGCCAATTTCGAAATACACATTCATCAGAAAGTACAATGCCGTCCAATTGCAAAAGAAATGAATAAACTTGAGAGAGAAGAAGAAGAAGAGGAAGGAGGAGGAGGAAGGAGGGAGGAGGAGGAGGAAGGAGGAGGAGGAGGAGGAAGAAGAAGAAGAAGAAGAAGAAGAAGAAGAAGAAGAAGAAGAAGAAGAAGAAGAAGAAGAAGAAGAGGAGGAGGAGGAGGAGGAGGAGGAAGAGGAGGAAGAAGAAGAAGAAGACGAGGAGGAGGAGGAGGAGGAAGAAGAAGAGGAAGGGGAAGAAGAAGAAGAAGAAGAAGAAGAAGAAGAAGAAAGAAGAAGAAGAAAAAGAAGAAACTGATGTACACCATCATAGACAAATGATAATGATCTTCTTCTTCGCCAACCACTATCCTCGTCCTTATCTCCTCCTCTCTTATTCACACAAGAAATAAGAATAATAATGTTGAATGGCTGAACCAGAATCAATGTCCGAATCCCTCTTCTACTGCAGGTATCACATGAGGTCCACCATAGCCATGGCCACCCTTCCTCTTCCTTCGTCCAAGGCCGAGGCTATGGCGGACTACTCGGGCCTTGCCCTGATGTCCAGAGGACAACACAAAGCAGCCATGGCTGCTCTAGCTCAGGCCGCGATGCCTGACTCTGTCCCAAAGCTTCTTGGTGTAGCTCTACCCCAGCTGGGGCCTTCCTGCTGCAGCGCCCACCAAGGTGATGAAGATGGCATCCACCATAGCCAGGTCAGTACCTCTGGTGCTCCTCCCTCCTAGTCCTGGTCTTCTTCCTCCTTCTGTCCTTGCTCCTCCCCAGCAGCGCTGCTCCTTGCTGGCGCTGTTCCAGCCAGCGCTCCAACCAGTGTGTCACCACAGACTTAGAGAACTCAGTAGCAAGCGGGAAACTCAGCAAGGCATTCAGTCCATGAGCAAAACTCAGAAATCAGCTGTGTGTCTCAGTCCGTGTTTGGTCAGGTCATCACACTACCCCCCCCTTAAGAGCAAGGTCCCCTCGAGCGAGCAACTCATTCTGAGTCCCTGACAAACGCAGCGTAAGCAAACAAAGCAAAGAGATTTCAACAGTACTCCGTCGCAGTGAGCTTTGCAGAGATTTTACGTACAGCATTAGAGGCGATTTGTCGCTTGCAGGCTTTAACAACGTGAGGTGCGCTGCGCAGCAGTTCCTTTTTGGAGATTCAATAGTGATCATTCAACGGGTGGTACATAAAATAAACCTGGTACTATCTGTTACATCCCTGCCCTACGTGCTGTTTGATTCCATCAAACTCATGACCGCCATTGATTGCATGAGGAATCATGTCTTCACGATAATCGAAGGATTTCGCATCACGATGTATATACAGTTTTGATGCATGAAAGACGGGGTGTTTGCGCAGATGAAGAGGCACAACAACTGTGTATGAGGGGCCGAACCCATGCTTGCCAATCACATCTAGAACTTCCTGCGGAACGTAATAGAGCGGGAGAAGTTTGCATGACACTCCCTCTTCTCGTGAGAATTCAGACATCTTGACCCAGACATAACTTCCCACCTTAATATCCGAAGGTTGGCGTTTCTTGTTCGCATGATGGATCATGGCATGCTGTCGCTTGGTCATTGCTGTGATGGCAACTTTGAGCAAGCGACTGTCCTTGGCACTGAAGCCAGGCCTGCCAGACGTTAAACCAGCTGGCTGTTCAGGGAATAAGTAGGAGAGCGGATTATGAATCTGCCAACCGTAATGCAGCCTGTTTGACGTCATGCCGGTGGAAGAACGGATGGAGTTGTTGTACAACCCCTGGACTGAATACAACTCTTCATCCCACATTCCCTGATCCGGAATGATTAAAGCGCGGAGACGTTGGAACATGGTCTGGTTGATCTCCTTAGCCAATCCGTTGGCTTCGGGACGTGAGCCAGATGTCATGCATAGTTTTAGGCAAAGGAGTGGGGACGTCAAGTCCTTCCATTCAGTACTTATGAAGCGCAGGTCCGGATCACTCACAAGAGTTTTCGGGGTTGTGAACTGCAGAATGTACTTCTGTTCGAAATTGCGGATCACCAATTCAGTTGGGGCATGACATGGCGCGGGAATCAAATTGAGGAATTTAGAAAAGTGGTCAACAATCACCATCACTTGCGAATAGCCATTCTTACTTACCTTTCCCATGTCTGTGAAGTCGATAGAGACAGACTCCCAGGGACCATCAGGAAGGGGAAGAGGTGTAAGTAGCCCCATGGGCTTTTGTCTGGATGGTTTGATCCGTTGACAGACTTGACACTCAACCACAAACTTTTCGGCAGATCCATTCATATCAGGCCAGTCAAACTGTCACTATAGGTTTCCGTACGTTTTCGCCATACCACGCAATCGATCGTGAGCCAAGTCCAAAAAGTGTGTACGAAGAGGCTCATGGTTGGGTACTCACAAACGGTCATTATTTCCATAGCCTCGAAAAACCAGTCCATATTCGTGAAAATCAGGCTGACTGTTGGGGTCAGCCCGCAACTGCTCAAGGATTGGACTAAGGTCCGGGTCCTTGGTAGCGTGCTCTACGATCTCCTCCTTCAGTTTCTGCTGCAGGTCGTAGGAGTTCACAAGGCAAGTCATGTACTCGGGGTGGCGAGACAATGCATCAGCAACTCGATTGTAACAACCTTTTTTGCGTTTTAGTTCAAAGTCAAAAATGTCGATCACATGGAACCAGCGAGTTAATGTAGGGGACGAGGTGGTTTGTTCTTTGATCCACTTCAAAGTCTCATGATCTGAGAACACTTTGAAGTGGCGTCCCAAAAGATAGTGCTTCCAGTGGTCCAAAGCCATACGCAAAGCATAGAGCTCGCACATGTAGGTGGAAATAGCTACCTTTTCATTGCGCATGCGTTTGCTGTAGTACTCGAGCGGTCGCAAGCCATCATCGCCATCTTGCTGCAGCACTACGCCAATCCCATACTGGCTTGCATCCATAGTAACTACGAATGTTAGTTTGGAATCTGCAATGCGGAGTACAAGGTAACTTACGAAGGCCTCTTTGAAGGCTTGAAACGCGGTCTCACCCCCACGTGTAAGATACATTCTTACTTGTTAATTGGGACAACGGGTGAGCAACAATAGAAAATCCGGGCACAAACTTCTGATAGTATGATGCGAGACCAAGGAAAGAACGCAGTTCGCGGATGTTCGCGGGTTGAGGACAGTCGCGTATGACCTCAACCTTGGTTGCCTCACGCTCTAGGCCTGCAACAGACAACCTATGACCCAAGATAGATGGCGCTATCCCTCCCAAACTCAGATTTGTCTAAGTTGAGATGGAGTTGTATTTTCTTGAGGATGGTGAACACTTCCTTAAGGTGCTTCATATGTTCCTCGATGGATTTGCAGAATATTAGAATATCATCGAGATACACCACCACAAAACCGACCAATCTGTTCCCATAGGACATTTTCCATATGGCTTTGAAAGGTCGCCAGGGCGTTCATGAGACTGAAGGGCATTACGATAAATTCGTAAAGCCCATCGGGTACGCAGTCTTGTGCTGGTCCACACGATCGACTTCCATTTGGTGGTATCTAGACTAGAGGTCGATCTTGGAGAAGACCTTGCACCCACCTGCAGCATCAAGCAAGTCATCTATGCGTCGCAATGGGTATGCATTATTCCTTCAGATGCGTTTCGACCACGATAATCAATACACATGCGGAGTTTGCCTCCTTTCTCTGAGACGAACAAAACAGATGCATCAAAATCAAATTTGTTGGGCTTAATCCATCCCTTGTCGATCATTTCATCGATCTGTTTCCGGAGTTCCTACAACTCGCAGGACCCCATTCGGTATACACAACCCTTTGGAGGGATAGCACCTTTGACCAACTCGATCGTGTGTCGGACCGATTGCGTGGGAACTACACGTGGTACGGCTAGAACTTTCGTGAATCGGTTGAGTAGGTTTTAAATGCTTGCTGGGACCGATGGAGGCCAAGGATCAGCAAAAGGATCACCTAGATCAGGTCGCATATTTCGAATGGAGGCGAGCGAATCTGAAGTAGAGTCATTTGGTGTAGGGGTAGGCAGAGAAGTAGAAGTGCTAGAAGTAGATTCATTAGATGTAGTATTAGTATTAGCCACAAAAGTAGATGGCACATGAGTACGGCGAACGAAAACAACATATAATTGTTCCTCCTTGTGCTTGCGCCACTTCTTGCATAACTGCATGGCATTGAGATAAGTCATTGGGGACTCGTGCTTCTCATCCGAGAGGACGGGTCATCCCCTTGAGCATCTTCCCTATACTACTAAAGAAAACAACGGTCATCGTGTGGGGCCCAACAAAAACCGGGCGCCTCCGTGCGGGACCAGTTATGGGCAGCGGCCAAAGGGGAA